ATCCCACAAAAAATAATAATAATCGTGTGCCTATTTAATATTTATAAAATTGACTGACTTTAGTTTGAGAAGTTTGCCTCATATTTTTGAATTTTACATTAGTTATTTTTGAAAATTTTTATTAAGATAATAAGTATGTATTAAATTTGAAAATTGTTTTAGCTATTTTCGAAATAATTAATAGAGATTTTCTTAACTATTTTTTCGCAATAATAAATATTTCTTTAACTTGAAGATTTTCTTAAGTATTTTTGAAAAATTTTAGGGAGATTTTCTTGTTTTCATTATTGATTTTTAAACTATTTAAAAAGAAATATTAATACCAATGGCAGAACCTTGTAAATAAGTGACCAAAGCAAGGGTTTTTTCATAAGTTGCTGCAAAAATGTTAATATAGATAGATAATTTTAAAACCCTTTGAAATCGTTTTGAAATTTTTATTAAACCCATTAAAAACCTTTGTAAATCATTTAAAATCTTTGTAAAATTTTTATTTTTTTTCTTAAAACACTTGTAAATCTTTTTAAAAATAATTGTATATACTTTAAATACTTTTTTAATCGAGATCACTGCCCTCTCCCCGAAATTTTTTTAAAGGGATTTTTAATGTTTTTAAAAAATATTTACAAAAGTTTCGCAAAAAAATTATAAAAATTTATAAAGGATTTACAAGAAAGTTATAAGGATTTACAAGGTTTTTAAAAAATAATATCACAAAATATTTTGAAATACAAAACAACCTAACGTCAAAATTTTAGTGGTAAAATTTTTTTTTTTAGACAAATCAATTTCATTCAATTGTAAAATTTTTGGTTTACAAAACAAACTAGAAAATGCACAAACGGTCTTGTTGTTAGTCCCATATTTGAAATAGTCAAATAGGTTTAACGGACAAAATAAAACTCTGTTTAGGGGGAAAAATCTGGTTTTTAAATTTAAAATCCAAATGGTTTAACGGAACAAATAACGGCATTTTTGTAATTATTATTATTAATTAATCAGCCTAACCACTACAAATACAAATCTTTTCTTTTTTTCTTTTCAACTTAATTGTTCATCATGTTTCATCACCAACTCAAATAAACACTGAAGCACCTCTGCGATTTCAGAAATAGAATCAATAGAGCGATGAAGATCGTTCACAGAGTGATGAAAATCTAATCAGCGAGTGAGATTACTATGAATCCTTTTATTATCGATTTCAATTCTAGTTTTTTGATTCATCGCTCACTTGAAAAATAATATCTTCCGGATTATTCCAGAAACAGAGGCGTGTAACTGAATCTGGGCTCCGATCTCTTTAATAATTCGTTTTTTACAAAGCGATGAAGATCGATCACAGAGTTATGACAATCCAGCCTGCGATTAAGATCACGATGATTAATCTGGTAACTTTGAATCATGTTGATAGATTACCGTAGATCCGAACACGATCAAGCTCCAAATCCGATTACGAAACAGATCTGCAATTACAGAGATTGTAATCAGCAAATCTGAGAATAGAAGAGAAACTTAATCTGAAAGGTAAACAATGATCAACATAGACCACTCTCTAGCACATCACCAGAGACTCAAGCACATCACCTGAGAATTCACAATCCAGATTAAGCGTGAGGAAGAAGAAGGAGCTCTGCAACGGCTTTATATCCCCGAGCTCAGCCTAACAGCAAACCTTCTGTTTCGAGGCGAGTGTTTCATTTCATTGGTTTACTCAAACCCACCTTTTCCCACAGAGTCTTTGCTTAATATCAAACTAGGCTGACGTGGCAAATCCGCCTCTGTATCTAACGGCTTCTTCTTTCTGAAATATGTTTGATGAATCCTATCAATACTTCCTCCCCGGAGACACAGCTTGTCCTCAAGCTGGAAGTGAGGAAAAAACTCAACAAAGTTTTTTGACAACATCCAAGAATCATCCGTATCTGGGCTCTTATCTCTTTTTACAAATTCTTCTGATTTTGTTTTTTTCTGGGTTTGTGTTGTGGAACTTAGGGTTTTTGTTTTGATTTCGTTGCGAGTAAAAAAAAAAAAAAATGGAAAAAGTACGAGCTTGTAAAAGACATCGGTGCTGGGAATTTTGGAGTGGCTATGAAGTTTAATTGCATACTCTTTCGTGTTAGACTTAGATCAACGATTTTGAGTGATGAGAACCTTTTCTTTTGTTTACGTTGCATAATCGTTGCTATGAAGTTTAATTGCATAATCTTGAACCTTTTTTTTGTTTTTGGTGAATTCATAATAATAGATTGATGAGAACGTGGCGAGAGAGATTGTGTTTTAATATAATCATGTTTAAAGAGGTAAGCTTCTGCAAATAATTTTCTCTATCTTTCAGGTGGAAGGTTGTGTTTTAAAGTTTCTGTTGCTTTCAGGTGGTTTTGACCCTAACGGATATCACCATTGCTATGGATTATGCTGCTGGCGGTGAGTTATTTGAGCGCTGGAAGATTCAGTGAGGATGAGGTGAGTCCTTCTCCTGGTCATGATTGGTCTGAGATTAGTTGAGAGGAGGAAAGAGGAATATATAGCGTCTATGTAGCGCTGTAAATGGTTTGGAACAGCTTCTCGGGTTATGATAGCTTTTTGTTTTTGCACATCTTTGTTTTTTCAGGCAAGATACTTTTTCCAGCGGCTTATATCAGGATTCAGCTATTGCCACGCTATGGTAAGGAATGAAAATGGATGGCTTATTATTCTGTGGTATCTCTGTGCGTTCTGTACTCATGTTATTTCGTTTATTGTCACAGCAAATATGCCACAGAGATGTCAAGCTTGAAAATACGTGATTTTGGTTCTTCCAAGGTTTGGCATCTATCCCACAATACGCAATTGATTTCTCCGTTTTTGTTTCTCTTTCCTTCCATTTGCGAGGGACCTTGTCATTTTCCTGTGAGCTAATTTTCTTTTGTTGTAGTTCTCACTGTTTCACTCTAGGCCCAAATCAACTGTTGGAACTCCTCCATATATTGCACATGAGGTTCTTTCTCGCAGAGAGTATGATGTCAAGGTAATCTTATTGGTTTGCTAGTAGTGGTATATCGTGTGCTAAGCACCTTGATAGAGACAAACATCTTGTGTAGTAATATAGCTCTTTCAACTTTTTCTCATGCATAATATTTTGATTCATTAAGAAAGCTTAGATGGTTTACAAAAAAAAAAAGGAAAAAAGAAAGCTTAGATAAGTCCCAACTTGGCAGAAATCTGCTGTGGCTTTGGTAGATTTGGGCAGTCATTTACTAAGGGATTTCGAAAGATCCATGACCAGATGTCTTTATCATCTAATCTGTTTGCGCCATCCCTTGCTTGCGTTATCTGTCTCTTGTGTGTATTTGGTCAATGATAATTGTGAGCATTCTAACCCTGAGCCATTCATATAAAAGAACTGGACAACTTTTTGGAAATGTATCTTGACAGAAGCAAAGACTATGAAATTGTTATGATCTTATTTGTTTGGATTTGGAAGCGACTTCATGCAAATCATCAATGTGTTTGATTTGATGACTTGTTTCTTTGAATTTCTGAAAATCTTGCAATTTTAAGAGCTGTTTTTTGATGATTTGTCTATGTTTGTCTTAATTATCGTCATCATGTGTGCCTAATAAATCCCAATGCAGTTGTATAAGTTTGGTTGTTAAGTTCTGTGGCTCAGTTTATGTAGTCACTTTTTGCTAATTCACAACTCTTAAAACTGTTTCGTGTCTCACTTACAATCTCTTCTTGTATACTTGCAGAGTTGCAGGAAAACATCATAAAGCTTTCTGATCAGCCTATCGCAGCAGAGAGTAAAGAGAGTTGTTCAAAAAGAGCTTGATAGGTAATATTTTATTAGAAATATCGATAGTTCTAAGACTTGACATTACCAAAACTTGGCCAATGCTTAGTGGCTTGAGTGTGTGGTAGAAGTGAAAAAGAGATGATACGTTTAGTGTTCTCTAATTAATGTATGTGTTATGTCCATTTCAATAGTCAGCAAAACTTGATTATGCTATAGGGGCAGATTAGAAATTTAAAACTATATTCTTGAAATATCTCTTCTGAGTATATTATAAAATATGATTTAGAAGCAACCTCATCTGAGTATATTACTCTGATCATATACATCACAAAATGTTTTGTTTTTTCAGACTAAGGAGCTGCAAAGAATTTGAAGGTGACTTGGTATAGTCAAGAAAAAGGGACGCTTTGATGAAGCAACTGAGGTTAAGATATCGCCCTCTCTCTCTCATAAAAACACAGCCAAAAAAGCTTCTTAGTTCTTACAATCAAAACAAGAAAACACTAACGCACGAAAACGTAAAACACAACCAAAACAAAAACTTCATAAAACACACACAAATAAAACATAAAAATGCAAAAACGGTTCCACAACTTTACCATCACATAAACTCCACGCTCACATAACTCCACCATCACACAAATTCCACGTTCACACAAACTTCAAGTTCACATTAGCTCCACGTCCACATTAGATCCACGTTCACACAACTTCACTATCATACAACTTCACGTTCACACTACTTCACGTTCACATAGAGTTTGCTACTTTGATTCCTCTGCAACACATAGGATATATGTGATGTATTTGGCTCAGTACACTCCAGTCTCTTGGAATTAAACCAAGACAACACAGTTTTAAGACTAATGGTTCATCATTGTCATGTACATCAGGCGATCCAAATATTCTCTTCTATGCCTACATTTATAGAGCATAAAAAAATGAACAATGGCTGGTGGACGTGCACTGAGGTACATTTTGTTCATCTGCATCTCTACCATTTTCTATAGCTTGTTACTTAATTTCCTCTCTGTTTCAAGTGTGGATGAACAAAACGTTTGTATTTTGTTTGCTCTATGTTATTCTGTTTGTGTGACTTACTAATAAAGGTCATTGATTTCAAGAGAAATAGATCAGGTGAACTAGTGAAGATGAAGATTTGCTTTTACTGGTAGCTTTCAATAATGCCTTACATGTCAATATTATGTGAGTTGAGCATGCAACCAAATGTAGACAGGGAGGATTCTGTAAATTTGTTATCTTGGTTTTCATGATGTTTTAAATATATATATTTGTAGGTGTAGCTTGAATTAACTTATTTCTACTTTAAACCAGCTTTTCAATAAGAAAAGAGGATCATTTTCAGATACTCATGAATGATTAGGTAATCATGCTAAACCTTTTTCCATGACTTTATACTCTTTTCTAGTAGAACCAATATGAGTTTATGTAAACTACTTCAATGTATATGTATTCAGGAATATCAGTTATAATCTTCCATTTATTCAGAGGATAGCACTCACCAGGTTTCAAACTTAGGCCTCAAGATTAGAGAATCTTAGTGTTTTCTTGTCTGTTTTCTCAAATTAAGTAGTGTGGTTTCATCTGTTTGATGTAGATTTTGTCCTCTTGTTCATAATTAATGTGTAATTTCAGGAATATAACTTTGTGTGAGCCCGGTGATGTATCTATTGAGGAATTGGTGAAGCGTAAAGAGGCTTGCATAAGTAAGCATTTTTAACGAGTTGTACTTGGTATAGAAATTTCTTAGAATATTGGCCAAAGATAATTTTGACTGTGCTTTCTAGTGTTTAATGTCGTATAACATTGTTTTGATTGAATCTCCAGTTTAGGACTAACAACACTTTATGATGTCAATGACATATTAGAAGTCTTGTGAATATGGGAGGACTGAACATTATTTTCAGTTCTTGTTAAGGTAATTTGATTTCATGGTACCATGTTTCTTTAGTATTTGTGTCTTTGTTCTCCCCCTCTTTACTCGTCATAAGTTTCATGGTTTTATATGAAATTTATCTGTGGTTTGAAAATTTGTCCAGGTTAAAGCTCTAGTGATTACTAACACTTACATAATGCTTTGATTGAATCTCTACTTTACGATTAACAACACTAAAATATATCACGGAAAATTTTAAAGTTCCGTGGATGAAAGAGCCTTGTTTAGGTAAAATTTGATTTCACGGTACAATGTTTCTTTTTACTTGTTATAAGTTACTTGCCTTCATTGTTTTCAACGAATTCATCTGTCGTTTGATACTTTTGCATTACTTTGGCCAGGTTAAAAAAATGAATGAGAAGCACCCTCCTCTCGTCTCTCGTCTGAGTATAGTATGGTTTATTTCTTGGCTAATCATTTGATTGTATAAACTTTATATTGTGATTATACATTTGAAAAAAAAACTCTACTAAGTAATAACAATGTTCTATTTTCTTGTAGGAGAAGAAGTGACTCTTGGATGACGTATGTAACTGAGTTACGGTAAACTTAACACAAAAACACAAAACACAACCAAAACTACAAAAACATTATACCAAAAAGGATACACACACAAAGGAAACACACAAATCAAGTTAAAAAGAAGCAAAATTAAACACCACAATTTCACAATTACATAAACTACACAATTTTACGATCACATAAATTTCACAACTTTAAGATCGCGTAAACTCCACGATTTCACGATCACATAAAACTCCACGATTTCACGATCACATAAAACTCCACGATCACCTAAACTCCACAGCTTTACGATCGCATCAACTTCACAATTTCACATAAACTCTACAATTTCACGATCACAAAAACTTTACAATTTCAAGATCACATAAACTTCACGATTTCACGATCACATAAACTTCACAATCTCATGATCACATAAACTCCACAACTTTACGATCTTATAAACTCCACAATTTTACATAAACTCTACAATTTCACGATCACAAAAACTCCACAATTTCACGATAAAAAAAAAACTCCACAACTTCACGATCGCATAAACTCCACAATTTTACGATCACATAAACTCCACAATTTCACGATCACATAAACTCCACAATTTCTTTTTTTGAATGAATGCAAAATTTATTCAACAAAAAAAAACTGTTTTACAATATATGCATCTTGTGCTTGAAAATGTTTGATAAGATCTGAAGCTTGACAAAGAGCTAAGGATTATCTCTGGATCTTGAGCCAAATCATAGTTGCAGCCCCTCTTTGAACTTGGAACTCCCTTGTTGCAGAAAAGAAGAGAGCCTCTTACAAACCAACCGGTCAATGTATTTAGAGAGCAACTCCGGAGATGGCAGGAGCATCACCATGCCTTCTACAATTTCACGATTTTACAATTTCACGCTCACATAAAATACGCGTCGCCACTTTCACATGAACTCTACAATTTCACTATCACATAAACTCCACAACGTTATGATCGCATAAACTCCACAACATTACGATCACATAAACTCCACAATTTCACTATCACATAAACTCCACAACATTACGATCCTCCACAATTTCATGATCACATAATCTCCACGATTTCACAATCAAATTAACTCCGCGTCGCCATGATCACATAAACTCCGCAACTTTACGATCAAATAAACTCCAAGTCGCCACGATCACGTAAAGTTTGCTTCGCCTTGCAACAGTCATAGTTTAGATCCTTTTTCGATGTTTTTCTTGTGACTTGTATTTTGTTTAGTTATTTCCATTCTTGTAATTTTTATTGTTATCAACTGCTTATATATTTTCTTTAGTTTTTAAAGTATTTTACTGTCTTTTTGAATTATATATTCTTATTTATTTTCATCTTAATAATATGGTAATACCATTTTGATTCAAATTCCAAACGATATGAATGCCACGTTAAAGTTTCAGGATATTTTTGTATATATGAAAAGATTGGGGTTCCTTCCAAAAGTTATGAATTATTCTATAAAAATAATTCCGGACTAATATTATCTCTTCACGTATGTTTACATATGGACTAATTTTCCACCTATAAGCTTGAGAACTTGTATTATATATATATTGGCTAAAACAGTTTCAGTATGTTTCTTGCTACAAGCAAACGAATTAGTTGACGTTATATTGTGTTATAGGCTAATACAAGTCTCTTCATGTTCGTACAAGTTACACCAACCTTATACCTTGTTTTGTTTCTTGAGACAGAATTGGATTTTATCCATGTTGCCCTTGTAAGAAAGACTCTGCTTTCTGTTCACTGATTCTAGTATTTTCCTCCTTAAATCAATGAAAATAGTCAAACTTGCTACACTACTACAAAACTCAAACATAACAGGTTTGTCAAGATCTTCAGTACAATTCGAGTTTTCGCATGGTTGGGAATTTTAGTAAGAAACATGACAGTGTTATACGAAGAACACAGCCGGACACAGTGAGTTCATCAAGACAAAATACATGGTTATCATTAGCATATGGTACGTAGATGATAGTTTCGAACGAAATCAATATAAATAGTACTTAAACACAAGTGATCCAGTCTCCATATAACAATAGTTAACATCATATATAAAAGAATCTAAACCTAAAAAAAGTAAGAGTATTATTTCATGTAATAAAAACAGAACAAACCAAATCGATATTTATATTGCCTATCGCTCAACCCGGAAAGCTTGAAAGGATGATTTGAGCTTCACCAAGCGATTCTCCCATACGCGTCTCCAACAATTGAGATCGTCTTCCATATTTCCTGTGTTTACTCCATATTTAAAAGGGAAAATTACATAGTCTGACAAATTGGTGAAAAGAATCGAGTTCCCACTAACACCACACCCATGAGGAAGGTCCTTAGCCGAGCAAGACATGTTTCCTGTAAGTCCAATAAACAGTACACGGTTCCCCAAATCCTTAACTACAACCCATGTACCAGTCTTGTCATCTAGCCTACTCACTCTACATGTAAATTCACTCGAATCAAATACACGAGGAGTTTGGTAAAAGACCTCAACCAAGAAGAGTTCATCATTGCCATATGGAACTAGATAGTACATTGGTCCCCCCTGAGGTGAGGGCATTATGAGAGTCTCCTTCAGCGAATAAGGATCAATAGCGACAATTATTTTCTCTGATGTTGTTGGCCGAGTAAGTTTTTACATAAAACCTACTTTTAAAAGTAACTACATCCGCGGAAAAACAATTTGAGAGGTCGTTAAGCTGCTTCCACCTCATTTCGACACTTGTTAACACCATGATATCGTTTTGGTTACGACAAAGCACAACGAATCCTCCTTCCTTGTCTAGCGGAAGACAATCCACATGATTGTCTCTACCCATAATTCTGTAGTAATGGCCCAGAGGGATGATCTGGCAGTCTAGCATGTTCATCAAGGTGGGATAAGATCCTGAGTTATACACTTTCACTGAGCACTGAAGGGTTGGAGATGGAAGAAGCTCCATCTGATCCCCTGACTCATCTCGGGCTATTACACCTAGAAAATACTCAGCAGCATCGGGATCAGGAGCTCGGACTCTAAAGAGGAACCAAGGGACCTTCTCCAGGGTGCACAAGTCTTTGCTTTCTTCAGGGAATGATGGAAGAGTGTAACATGTTCGTAATAGGGAAGGAGGAAATGGAAATGCTGATCGCCATGAGCTGCAGACAGAGCGAGCATGAACAACATCGAAACAGTAATCATCTAGATGCGTCGAGATAAGGTGCAGTAGCTCTTCAGGGAGCTGAGACCAGTCTGCAAACAAAGATGATGTATTTTTATTCGTTCCAAGTTCTTCCATGTTTGCGATTGAAGATGATATCTTATCTCAAAACTTTTTATTTTTGATTTTGAAAACTCAAAACTTTTTTTGTAGGGTGTAAGAAAATTTTGTTAGAAACAGAGAAGATTAATATGCTTATAGAATTCCAAGCTTAAAGCATGAATTTTTATTTGTGATTTTCTTACAAAAATCTAGCAAAATAATTAAGATTTTTACTTAAAAATCATCAAATAATTACAAATATTAATTAAATAATTCTTACACTAATAAATGCATATTAAAATTAATACTAATATAAATTATATCAATCAAAATTGAGCTATTCTACCATGTTAAATTGTTGAACTATTAAAAATATGTAAATAATTAATAAAAAATCTTTATGAAAGCATTATTGAAAGATTAATATAATAATTTAATGTATTATCTAATTGTTTTTTCCTATTGCTATTTAGTAGTTTAATCAATAATATGAGGAAGATGAGTAAGAACTTTACTAAAATTTTGATAGTTTAAATACTATTTTACTATAGTTATGAGTTGGTTCTAAGATATATTATAATATGTAAATTTTATTGAAGTCATCCAAAATTATCCATAGTTACGTTAACCGAAATACTGGGACTTGGATTCTACTATAGTTTATTTTGGTAGTGATTTTTATTATATGAATACTTATATATAGCATTCGTATATCTAATCTTTTTTTTTTTGGTCGTCATCTAATCTATTTGAAAATATAAATTTATAATGTCATGTTTTATTTGCAAATTAGAAAAATGTGTATTTTATAACTAAAATACTTTTAACTAGAGTTGTGTATTCGTTATTATCCGATTTTTTTATGCGTACCTATGTATTAACTGGTATTGAAAAACTTGTTAAATATGGTTGAATTATGCTGAATGTTTTTGATGTGTTACCATTTCATGCCTAGGTTATAAACATGACATTTTGTAATGGAAATCAGAAGCAGAGATAGTTCTCTATTTCCCCATCGCACATGTCTGATCAGAACGAATTAAAGCTTATAAGAGCTAAACGCTGCTACAGACATTGTTCTATAGGCATGCATTAGCTCGATACAGAACCTAAACACTTTTGAGCAGCACTTTAAACACATGAAACACTTCAAACTCCTAGCTCGGCATGCAGTTGAAGTGTCACCAAATGAATAGGCTAGTTAACCTAATGAAGTGTAACGAACTGTTTTTTCCAAGCAAAGATATAGGAACAAGGGATCATCACCTATGAGAAGTCTCTAGCTCATTACTTGGTACACAAGTTCTCTCTAATTTAGCACTTTTGTACTTAGCTCAACTCCATATCGATAAAGCACTACGATTATTCATTTCAGTTCCCTATTGATTCTTGATACATAGTTCCCTCCCTCCATTTTATCAAAGAAATCGTCAAAAAAATTAGAAGGTGTAGAAGAAGCTTTGGTCTTGTTGTGTAGAAACAAAAAATATAAGGCTCAAAAAATAATACAGGAAATTTCAGGGAGTGGTTTTAGAATTTTGGTAGACTCTGGTTAAATTTCGGTTTAGAAAACAAACCGGAAATGCAACACTAATTAAACATGGTTTAGTCTCGTGTTTAGTCCATGTGATTCGAATTAGTTTTAAGTTTTTAACGGACAAAATAAAACTTAAGTTTAGGGGGAAACATCTCGTTTTCAATTTTTAAATCTAAGTCGTTTAACGGAACAATCTAGGGCATTTTAGTAATTACTCATTAATCAGCCTAACCACTATAATTCTACAAATACAAAGCTTTTCTTTTTTTCTCAGTATTCATCACCGACTCAAACAATACAATTATTCATCATCTTTTCAATATTTTTCATTTTTCAAATATCGAGCGATGATGATCATCGGTCACAGAGTGTTGAGATTACTATGAATCGTGTTCTTATCGATTACAGTTATGGTTTTTGATTCATCGCACACTTGAAAAAAATATCTTCCCGATTATTCCATAGCAGAGGCCTGTAATTGAATTACAGGTATAAACCCTCTTCTGATTCTGTTTCTTTTATTGTTTAATTCTGGGTTTGTGTTGTGGAAATTAGGGTTTTTGTTTCTGTGTTGTGCACAATCCTTCCCGATTATTCTAGAACAGAGGCGTGTAATTGAATCTGGGTTCCTATCGCTTCAAATCGTTTTTTATTTTTTTTTGTTATTGTTTATGGGTTTGTGTTGTGGAACTTAGAGTACGAGCTTGTCAAAGTCATGGGTGCTGGGAATTTTGGAGTGGCTAAGGCTCACGAGAGTCAAAAAATCCAAAGAACTCGTTGCTATGAAGTACGTCGAGCGTGGCAGTAAGATTAATTGCATACTCTGTCGTCTTAGATCAACGATTTTGAGTACTTACTTAATCTTGAACCTTTTTGTTTTGTTTCTGGTGAATTAATAATAGATTGATGAGAACTTGGCGAGAGAGATTATTAATCATAGATCACTTCGTCATTCTAATATAATCAGGTTTAAAGACGTAATTTTGTGCAATTTGTTTTCTAGATTGGTGGCAATGTTTTTTGTGAAATTCTAGCCGGAAGGTTGTGTTTTAAAGTTTCTATTGTTTTCAGGTGGTTTTGACACCAACGCATAGCCACTTCTATGGAAGATGTTGCTGGCGGTTAGTTATCTACAGCGCTGGAAGATTCAGTGAGTGCTTCTTCTGGTCATTTTAAAGTCATGATTGGTGTACAAAAATGATAAATTTGTAGAGTTATATGTTGCCTGAGATTAGTTGAGAGGAGGAAAGAGGAATATGTGTTTGTAATCGTTTAAGGCTGCTTCTAGGATTATGATTGTTGTTTTTTGCAGACCTTTGTTTTTACATGCAAGATATGTTTTCCAGCAGCTTATATTGTACCTGAGGTTCTTTCTCGCAGAGAGTTCGATGGCAAGGTAATCTTATTTGTTTGCTACTAGTGGTATATCTAAGTGTGTTAAGAAGATAGAGACAAATATCCTGTGTAGTAATATAGCTCTTTCAGCTTTTGCTCATGCTTATTTTGATACATTAAGAAAGCTCAGATAAGTCCCAAATTGGAAGAAAACTGATGTGGCTTTGGTAGATTTGGGCAGTCATTTACTAAGGGATTTGGAAAGATCTGTCTTTTATTATTATCCATGACCAGATGTGTTTATCATCTAATCTGTTTGCGCCATTCCTTGCTTGCATTTTCTGTCTCTTGTGTGTATTTGGTCAATGATAATTGTGAGCCATTCATATAAAAGAACTGGACAGCTTTTTGGAAATGGATTGTATTCCAAATGTTTATCTTGACAGAAGCAAAGACTATGAAATTGTTATGATCTTATTTGTTTGGATTTGGAAGTATCTTCATGGAAATCATCAATGGTTTGTACTATAGTTGTTAGGTTTTTGAAAAAAGAAAACTGGTTACATTTACGTTTGATTTGATGACTTGTTCCTTTGAATTTCTGAAAATCTTGACGATTTTAAGAGCTATTTTGTGATGAATTGTCTATGTTTGTCTTAATTATCATCATCATGTGTGTCTGATAAAACCTGATGCAGTTGTATAACTTTGGTTGTTAAGTTCTGTGGCTTAGTTTCATAGACACTTTTTGCTAATTCACAACTCTTAAAGCTGTTTCGTGACTCAGTTACGATCTCTTCTTGTATACTTGCAGAGTTGCAGGAAAACATCATAAAACTTTTTGATCAGCCTATTGCAGCAGAGAAGATAAAGAGAGTTGTTCAAACAGATCTTGATAGGTAATATTTTATTAGAAACACCGATAGTTCTAAGACTTGATATTACCAAAACTTGGCCAATACTTAGGAAATAACTACATTTTGGTGGCTGAAAGTGTGGTAGAATTGAAAACGAGATGATACCTTTAGTGTTCACTAATTGATGTTTGTGTCATCTCTATTTCAATAGTCAGCAAAACTTGATTATGCTAAGGGTCAGATTAGAAATTTAAAACTATATTCTTGAAATATCTCTTCTGAGTATATTATATAGTATGAATTAGAAGCAACCTCGTCTGAGTATAATACTCTGATTAAATACATCACAAAATGTTTTGTTTTTTCAGACTAAGGAGCTGCAAAGAATTTGACTTGGTATAGTCAAGAAAAAGGGACGCTTTGATGAAGCAACTGAGGTTACGGTATCGCCCTCTCTCTCATAAAAAACACAGCCAAAAAGCTTATTACAATCATAACAAGAAAAACACTAACGCACGAAAACAAAAAAACGTAAACACAACCCAAACAAAAAAATTCATAAAACACACACAAAGAAAATGCAAAAATGCAAAAACGAATTCCAAAACTTCACCATCACACACAAACTCCACGTTCACATAAACTTAACCATCACACAAACTCCACGTTCACATTAGGTCCACGTTCACATTAACTCCACGTTCACACAAGTTCACGTTCATACAACTTCATGTTCGCATAAACCGCACTACTTCACGTTCACATAGAGTTTGCTACTCTGCTGCAACACATAGGATATGTGTGATTGTATTTGGCTCAGTACACTCCAGTCTCTTGGACTTCAACCAAGACAACTCAGTTTTAAGACAACTGGTTCAGAAACGTCATGTACATCAGGCGATCCAAATATTCTCTTCTATGCCAACATTTATTTTGCAGAATTATAATATCTCAAGAGGAACGAGAGCAGCAAAAATGAACAAATGGCTGGTGGACGTAGACCAAGGTACATTTTCATCATCTGCATCTGTTATTTTCCTCTTTGTTTCAAGTGTGGTTGAACAAAACGTTTGTATTTTATTTGCTCTATGTGATTCTGTTTATGTGACTTACTAATAAAGGTCACTGATTTCAAGAGAAATAGATGAAGCTTTGCTATAACTGGTAGCTTCCAACAATGCCTTACATGTCAATATTATGTGAGTTGAGAAAGCAACCAAATGTCGACAGGGAGGATTCTGGAAATTATATATATATTTATGTAGCTTGTATTAACTTATTTCTTCTTTAAACCAGCTTTTCAGTAAGATTAGAGGATCATTTCCAGATGCTCATGAATGATTAGGTATTCATGCTAAACCTTTTTCCATGACTTTATACTCTTTCGTGTAGGACCAATGTGAGTTTATGTAAACTACTCCAATGTATATTTTAAGTATTCAGGGGTTTCAAACTTACGCCTCAAGATTAGAGAATAATAGTGTTTTCTTGACTGTTTTCTCAAATTAAGTAGTGTTGGTTTCATCTGTTTGATGTAGATTTTGTCCTCTTGTTCATTATTGATGTGTAACTTTCAGGAATATAACTTCGTGTGAGCCTAGTGATGTATCTATTAAGGAGTTGGTAAAACCTAAAGAGGCTTGTATTAGGTAAGCATTTTTAACGAGTTGTACTTGGCAGCGGCGGACCTAGGTAGACAGTGGGTGGGTCAATTGACCCGGGTAAAATATTGAAATACTATGTTTTTGCAAGTAAATTGCTGAAGTATCGACAGCAGAGATGGATTTACCCCTTCAGTTGACACCCCCAACCACAGTTCGATTCCCAAGTATCATTTCAATATTAGTTTTTTAAAACCATTTTAAGTATTCAAAATAAATCTGACCCCCCTAATTTTTTTTCTTGGGTCCGCCACTGGTACTTGGTATAGAAATTTCTTAGAATATTGGCCAAAGATAGTAAAGACTGTGTTTTCCATTGTTTTGATTGAATCTCCAGTTTAAGACTAACAACACTTTATGATGTAAATGACATATTAGAAATCTTCTGAATACGGGAGGGCTGAGCATTTTTTCAGTTCTCGTTAAGGTGATTTGATTTCCCGATACCATGTTTCCTTAGTATTTTTTGTTTCCTCCCAGGGATCTAAGGAGGTGCCAGATTTTATGTTTAATCTAGAATATTTAAAGTTCTGGTAAGTTTAGCACATAGAGAGGCTTTTCATTTGAGTGTATACTGATAGACATCATAATGAATTTCTCTGACATTTATTTTTGTTGTAGAAAGCAAGGAAATAACTTGACTAGGTATGTCCCATGACCTCTTAGGAAAAGAACAATGGCTAGTGAGGACTTGCACTGAGGTACATTTTCTTGTTAAACATATTTTTCTGAAGATTTTTAATAGCTTTTTAATATCTTCTGTATTGATTCCGCAATCCAAACTTACCATTTGATGTCTCAGAGATGGTTCACTCATGCGTCTCCTACTCTCTTCAACGCTGGAACTCCAAGGCCTCAAGTAAGTTACCTTTAGATTGATATAATCTATTTTATTATATCTATATAAGGGAGTATACTTTGAAATGTGATTTTGCTGATCTGCTATTAAAAATAATTGACTTGGCAACTAAGCAGCTGCTTTCTGGTGTGCATGGAAGATGATCGCATTGATGAAACACTCAAAAGAGTGTGCTGTTATAAGCAAATCTGCTGGCGGTATTGGTGTTTCAGTTCATAACATTCGTGGCACAAATGGAACATCTAATGATATTGTTCCAATGCTGCGTGTATTCAATGCTACTGCTCGTTATGTTGACCAAGGAGGCAAGAGAAAGGGTGCATATCAGCATATATTTTGCTACCATTTTCTGTGTTTTCGATGGTCTTTAGTGAATCTGATGTATATTTTGTAATTTGTGAAGGAGCCTTTGATGTATACCTGGAGCCATGGCATGCTGTTGTCTTTGAGTTTCTAGAGTTGCGGAACCATGGGAAGGTACATTTACCTTTATTTCACCATATATTCTCCCCATATGTAAAATCCAATTCGGGCTGATACAACCTCTAATACACCTTTTTCCCATTTCAGGAAGAACACAACGGTAGAGACTTGTTTTATGCTCTCTGGGTTCCAGATCTTTTCGTGGAGAGGGTCCAGAGCAATGGGCAGTGGTCACTGTTTTGTCTAAACGAAGCTCCGGGTTTGGAAGATTGCTGGGGCACTGAATTTGAGACACTATACACGAAGTATGAAAGACAGGTGAATCCCTATTTGGTTAGACACTAAAATTCCTGTAATCTCAATACCAGTTATGTTTGTCCATATCTTTAGGGAAAGGCCAAGAAGGTTGTTCTGGCGCAGCAGCTTTGGTTTGAAATACTGATATCCCAGGTAGAAATAGGAACAACATACATGCTTTTCAAGGTCATAATTCTGTAGCTACACTAAATAGACCTATAACCATCAGTTCTTACAGTTACTTTTGTTCATCAGTTCTAACAGTTACTTTTGTTACTCTACACTATAGGATTCATGTACCAGAAAAAGTAATCAGCAAAATCTGGGAACAATAAAGTCATCCAATTTATGCACTGAAATCATTGAGTACACAAGTCCAACAGAAACTGCTGTGTGAAATTCGTAAGGGAGAAGGTGAGTAGGAAACTGGCTTGCCGGTTCTCTAAATTGATTTATGATGCTAAGGTAAATTGAACCATGTTTCTTTAGTATTTTGCTTATCTGCTCTCTGCGTATTTAATCGTCATAATTTTCATGGTTTCATGTGAAATTTATCTGTCGTTTGAAAATTTGTCCAGGTTAAAGCACTAGTGTTTACTAACTCTTACATAATGCTATAATTGAATCTCTATTTTTTTAGGACTAACAACACTTAAAATTAAAAATTTTGTGGATATGGCACAGCCAATCAGATCCTTGCTAAGGTAAAATTTGATTCACGGTATAAGTTGTCATAAGTTTCAGTGGCCAGGTTAAAAGTATGATAAGCAACCTCGTCTTGTCTGAGTATAGTATGGTTTATTTCTTGGCTAATAATTTGATTGTATAAACTTGATATTGTGATTATACTTTTGAAAAAAAAAAACTGTGCTTAAAGTAATAACAATGTTCTATTTTTTTGTAGGAGCATCACGGAATTTTGGTTTAGCCAAGAATAAGTGACCCTTGGATGACGTACGTAACTGAGTTACGGTTAAACTTAACATAAAAACACGAACCACGACCAAAACTACACAAATTCAATTAAAAAAGATGCAAAATTAAACTTCACAATTTCACGATCACATAAACTCCACAATTTCACTATCACATAAACTTCACAACTTTAAGATTGCATAAACTCCACAATTTCACAATCACATCAACTACACGATTACATAAACTCCAAGATTTCACGATCACATACTATTTCACGATCACATAAAATCCACAACATTAAGATTGCATAAACTCCACAATTCCACGATCACATAATCTCTACGATTTCTCGATCACATAAACTCTACAATCTTACGATCACATAAACTCCACAATTTCAAGATCACATAAACTACGCATCACCACGATCACATAAACTCCACAATTTCACTATCATGTAAACTTCACGATTTCACGATCACATTAACTCCGCGTCGCCACGATCACATAAACTCCACAATTTCACCATCTTCCTCAATTTCACGATCACATAAACTCCACAATTTCACGTTCACATAAACTCCACAGTTTCACGTTCACATAAACTCCACAATTTCACGATCAGATAAACTACAGATCAGCATGATCACATAAACTCCACAATTTCACCATCCTCCACAATTTCACGATCATATTAACTCCACAATTTCACGATCATATTAACTCCACGTAGCCACGATCACATCAACTCCACAATTTCATGATCATATAAACTCCACAATTTCACGATCACACAAACTCCACAATTTCACGTTCACATCAACTCCACAATTTCATGATCATATAAACTCCACAATTTCACGTTCACATAAACTCCACAATTTCACGATCACATAAACTACGGATCAGCATGATCACATAAACTCTACAATTTCACCATCCTTCACAATTTCACGATCACATAAACTTCACGATTTCACGATCACATTAACTCCACGTAGCCATGATCACATCAACTCCACGATTTCATGATCATATAAACTCCACGTCGCCTCTATCACATAAATTTTGCTTTGCCTTGCAACAGTTTCAGTTTATATTGTCTTTTCGATGTTTTTCTTAGCATCGTGACTTGTATCATTGTGACTTTAATCTTATTTAGATATCTCCATTCTTGTAATATTTTATTGTTATCAATTATTACACTGCTTATATATTATTTACTTTAGTTTTTAAAGTATTTTACTGCCTTTTTGAATTATTCTTATTTATTTTCATCTTAATAATATGGTAATACCATTTTGATTCAAATTCCAAAAGATAGGATGCCATGTTAAAGTTTCAGGGTAATTTTTAGATATGAAAAGATTGGCGTTCCGTCCAAAAATTATGAGATATTTTCAGAAAAATTCTATAAACAAAATTCTTGACTAAAATTTTATTTTCGCGTACGTTACATAGGGACTAATTTTCCACCTATAAGCTTGAGAACTTGTATTATATTTAGTGATAATTAACTAGATTGACAAAATTTTGGCAAAAAAATTACTGAATTAACCCTCTATCATTGATCATTACTAGAATGACACAATATTTATGTTAAAGTCCAAAAAACCAAACTTTAAAAATAGCAAGTAATAGAAAAAGTCTGTCATATAAATATTATGTCTGTCGTATTAAGCTGAAAAAAATATACTATATTAAAAAGAATATAGTAATAAATTTAGTTCCTGAAACAACTGTAAAAGAATAAATTTACTAGACATTATATCAAGTTAGTCTTATATTAATGAAGGTCTGTGGTATCTTTGAAAATAAGTATGTTGTAAAAATTAAATCTATCACTAGTTATAAATCTGTCGTAATTATTTTCAAATAAATCTGCCAACTAAAATAAGTCTGCCAGATAAAATATGTCATGCACAAATTAATCTGTCGTACACAAACAAATCTGTCGTAACTAATCCGTCAGACTTTTAAAATTATATTGATATTTTTTGAAATCGCTGGAATTATTTTTTAGGGTAAATTTGATTTTTCTATTATTCCTAGCAAAGCAGAAAAGAGTAATTATGTATGAAAATAACTCAACTAACTGTAATATTTTATGATTTAATTTAGTAATTAATCTTTTTTAATGAATAATCAAAAAAGTTCTGAGCCGAAACCCATACATCCTCAGATCCGAGACAAGAGCATGTTATATGGTTAGTAATTAATCTCTTAATTTGGATCAATCTAAATATATATATATATATATAGAGGCTAAAACAGTTTCAGTATGTTTCTTGCTACAAGCAAGCGAATTAGTTGACGTTATATCATGTTATAGGCTAATACAAGTCTATTCATGTTCGTACAAGTTACACCAACCTTATAGCATGTTTTGTTTCTTGAGACAGAATTGGATTTTATCCATGTTGCCCTTGTAAGGAAGACACTGCTTTTGTTCATTGATTCTAGTATTTTTGAAAAATATTCATTTTAATGGTATTTAAGAGAATTCTGTTTTGTTTTTTTTTTGGTCGTCGGAGAATTCTGTTTTTCATTTGAAAGAATGTTTTACATTTCTAGAGTAAAATTAATAACCTAATAAATATTTTTTTGTATGTATAATTATTTGTTTTTTAATTGGTTAAATAGTGTTTAGGCGGATATAATATATGATCTTTTGTTATTGTATTTTCTTAAAACAAAATTTTTATAACAATCTTTTAATTTGTGTGTTAATGATAGAGAGGAAGTATAATGAACTTATGAACATGTGAGTGGTTGCAAGTTTGCAACAGTTAATTGCTTTTGAGGGCAGTTAAAAGTGAGATTTGACTTCTAAACATGAGAAGTAAAAGAACCAACATGATCTGCTGCTGAAGACTTTGCTCTTCAACCATCGGGAACAACACACCCGTAAAAATCTATAATCGCTAGTTAGTTTGCTAAATTCTTTAACACTTAACCCATCTTTTGCAGACACCACTACTTCAAACTAGAATGTAGTAGTCATACGCTAAAAAAAGAAGTAAATCTACGACAACTAAAAGGCTCTGATTTGGGAAAACAATAACAAAAGTTATGAAAAGCTTATACTACATCGAACAATGGCAAAATTTTCAGCATATCTACAACCTCTACAGACTACAGTACAAAAGGCTCATGCTTCAGAAAAAATTCAGTGGTTGCGAATTTGCGATTACTTTCATAAGTTTATCTCACATGTATGTTGCTTACTGTTAGATCCTTTTCAGAAAAAGAACAAACCACAAGAAGATACTTTCATAAGTTTATCTCACATTGTAGCTTGATTGGCCAATTGTGATTACAGAAGAAGTTTCGTTTAGCTCCTTTTTTTTACAGTGTAAACAGAGTCATTCTCAACAATTTTGTCATCAAATCAAAGCCTAAACATAGAACATTTCCATAGAAAATCAAAGTTAAACATAGTCTTTCATCGAAATAATCCAAAGCAAGAATTTTCGGCCTAGCGTTCAACCTGGAAAGCCAAGACCGGAACAAAATTGTTGAGGATCCTCACACGATTCTCCCTTGAGGATCTCCAACAACTGAGATCGTCTTCCTTGTTTCCTGTGTGTACTCCATACTCTTTTATTTTGTATTATTTGTAATCATAAATCTTTGCCATTTTTTTAAATATAACATTTTAAAGGATTAATAGTTAAAAAAATAACTCATTTCGATTTTGTTAACAAAAAAAATCTTACCATAAATATTTCTGATTTATTATGGTAATATTACGTTCTTATGCTAAAATTAATGAAATCTCACCCAAAAATATTGGCCTTAAAAATCTCAACGGTCACAGATTTTCCATTTTTAATATTATCAAAACATAACACAAACATTAACAAATAAGAATTGTTACTTATATAGAATACCAATTACTCCTAAAATATCTCTATAAAATCTAGCATATTCCATTGCTTTTGATATTTTCTACCGCTCATCAAAATTTTCGGCAACTGCAATCTTTTCACACCAATACAAATAGGACTCTCGCTCACACAATCTACACTCACCAAATACGAAAAACACTTCCTCGATCTCTACCAAAAGCAAACAACGTTTAATTACTTCCTATGAGATGTTTCCATGACTCTTTGAGAATGGAAAAACATATTGAAAGCTTTGGTTTGACCAATCTTATTTTATTTTTCAAATGACATGTATGTGGTTTCTTTTTCTTTTTGTTTTTGGTCACCATGTGGCATCTTTGTGTATCTATTATTTAGAAATTTAGAACTATTAATGCGATGAGTGTTGGAAAAAAATACAATGGAGAAATGTTCATATATTGTTATTCTTTGTTTTTTTTTTCTACATCTAGCTTCTATGTTATATTAGTTTTTGAATTCTTTAAAAAACAAAAACTAAAAACATTGATAATTGGACATGTCAAACAAAGGCAAATGAAAAAACGATTAGTATAAGAAACATGAAATCCTTCCATTTACATTGTTTTTAGCTATTATTGAGAGTATGTTTACAATACAATTCTCACATAACCTTAAATTGTAAAGTACACGTATATTATTGGAATTCCTGACTTTTGAATCATTAAATGAGTCTTATTACCAAACTAGAGATAACTAAACTCCTCTTTCTGCAACAAAAAAAAAGTCTTTAGGAACCACTATGCAATTCAAATTCAATTGCAAAGATTTGAATCCACAAACCAGCAACTTATTAGATAACCATACGTGTTACATATGATATTTAACAGTTGGATATTTCCTTTTGATGAATAATTTCAATCAAATCTTTTTAAAATTATATTATTACATAAACATACTGTATGTATAAAAAATATATAATTTTTTTTTTGCAGCAATTTGATTTTTTAGAAACAGATGTATTACTTAAACGATACAAAAATGGATGTACTAAAGTATGATTGATAATTGTGTAGCACGGGTCATGTGATAGAACGGGTTATAATTTACATAATTATGATTATAGATATTTTACGGGTTGTCTTGTATAACTCACAAAATATTTTAATATGAAATTATATTATGTAAACAAATATTATGTCAATATCATTTCATTATTTTAAATATTATATTTATTAATTTGATTAAATTACGATTATATAAAAAATAAATTATCATATAATATTCTACGGGTTAAATCATAGAATTAACAATCAAAATATAGTAATACACTCTTATATATATACCAAACAAAATTAATAAAAAGAATATATTTTACAATGTCGTCCCGCGGTGTACCGCGGGTTAAAATCTAGTTTGTAGTATTAACGATAAAGTTGGAATCTATGATTGTAGGATTCATAACTTTAAACTAACAAATTTGAGCATATCATATTCTGTAATATAATTTTCTTTATCGCAAACTCTTGGAAAATATCGCTTTAAAGCTTTTGGAGATATATCATGCAGTGAGAAGATTTCGAACTCATTTACTTCTTTTATTGATTTTTAATGCAATTTATTCAGTTTCTAATGTTTGTTTCATTCACTATGTTTGAATAGAATATTTGTTAGGTTTAAAGTTCTCATTATAGATTTCAGTATTCATGATTTGCTAGGTTTGCTGTTAGTTAGAATTCATAACTGTAACTGTTTTTTTCCATAAGTTGTTTTTAAAGTTAAATCTAGACTAATCACATGGAAATTAGATATATTTGATTTGACATAAAATTGTGATTAATTACTTAACATAACCTAGGGTGAGTAAACTACTTATTGGCAAAGATATTTGGTTTAGGGATTTTGTAAACATTTTGAGCTTGGCAATAATGTTAGTTTTATCGTTAGGATTCGTAAAGGAATTTGGAATTCTAATTTTTAGACTTAGGTAATCTTCGCATCGGAACTTGGTTGATTTTACCTTTATGTTTTAAGTTTAAGACTTGATGCGAAGATTATCTAAGTCTAAAAATTAGAATTCCAAATTCCCTTGCAAATCCTAAAGATAAAACTATCATTAATGTCAAGTTTGATATGTTTAGAAAAAAAAACTAACATTAATGTCAAGCTCGATATGTTTACCAAATTCCTTTGTGAATAGTAATTTCGCTTACCCTAGGTTTTGTCTACTAATTGATCACACTTCCATGTCAAATCAATTAGCCTAAGATCTAAAATTCAGGTGGCCAGTCTAGATTTAACATTAAGAACAACCTACAGTGAAGAACAATTAAATTTATCAATCCTAATTAACTAACAAATTAATCTAGCAAGTCATGAAATCTCTAATGAGTATCCTAAACCTAACAAACAAACAAACTATTCAGACATTAGGAATGAAACAAATTTCATAAACTGAATAAATCGCATTAAGAAATCAAATAAAGAAGTAAGAGACTTTTGAAATTTTCTCTCTCGGATGATGAGTCTGATTTGTTTCTCCAAAACTAAGCTATTCTCTCAAGTTTCCAGAAAATCAAGCATAAGTCTAAAGTCTAAACATTGACCTAAAAATCATATAATGTATATATAACACGATTTGGGCTTTTATGGTAAAGAAGGAAAACTAACCAAAAAAATTTGCAAATTTTCAAAAGTTAAAAAAGTGCAAAATTCAGTTGTCGTCATATATTGGTGTAAACCGACACCAAAGGTGGTGTCGAGCCACATCCACACCAGATTTGCTCTCTATGCATACGTTTCTTCAGCACAACTTCTCCATAGTATTCCAAATTTTCCAAATAAGTCCAACTTGTACTTAAAGATTCTAAAAGACTTTGATATGTCATATATGATATGTACGTCATATATGATATGTAAATGTATAATTTTTTTTCTCCTAACCATTAATATTTGGATAAACAGAAGTCAACTTTATTCATAAAATAAAAACATTGCAAAGATATTTAGAAAAAAAAAAGAAAAAGAAAAATAAATGTCCCTTTGAGTGGTTTTGTAGTAGTACTGTAGTAGTAGTTAAAAGAAACAAAACTCTACGACAAATACGGCATCGTTCAAAGAACCCATAAGGCCAACAACACAACTCAACCTCATTCTTCGTAGACTTTGACTCTATCTCCCACTTCATCCCACTATCTCTGTTTTGTTTATCTTTCGTATCTCTCTCTCTCTCTGCCTAACCCCCAAAAGTAAACGGCCGTTATCACGGCTTCGAAACGGAAACAGCTTCTTTAACAGCAATAGACAACGACCCCTCAGTTACACCGTTACCTTTACCCATTGTTGTATTCGTGGACTGTATAGTCATACCGGAAAGATTAGGAGAAGAAGGAACGTTAACTCCGACGTCGGCAGCTCCAGGGATCAAAGGGTTACGTGTGTGACACGTGGCCGTTGAGATGGCGGTGGCTAAAGAGATTGGCATGAGACAGAGACCTTTCCCTTGAAGGTATTGCATGGCTGAGCCCATGTCTTCTTCCATTAGCTTCGCCACTTGATGCTCCGTCATCGTAATGCTACTGTCGTTGGAGGAGTTTCCGGCCGTCTGGTTACCTCCGGCCATGGCGGAGGATGCATTACCGTGAGATCCACCTGCCTGAATAAATTTTTAAAAAAAGTCATTAAAAGAAACAAAAAAGACAAAACATGAAAGTGAAACCCTAAAGTGATAATACATTTGTCGGCACGCGTGCTCTTCTTTTGTTTAATATTTTAGAATTTTAGGATTTGTCTTATATCTATCAATATATGTAATTCTGTTGCTTGAATTGTTTTTACATAAAATTTGTTTGAACTTCTTGCACGATTTATCTATTTTTGAAACACACAAAAACACAACATTTTCTTTATTTTCCTAGTAAATTTTAACATTGGCTTTGAATCTATGTTTATTGGAAATTATTGGAAAAAAAATGAGTAGAGATAATGAAATTAAGTACCTCAGAGATTTGAGAAGAAACTGAAGCAGCACCTCCCAATCTGCTCATGCTCAGTACCTAAAACATACATAATTATAAATTTAAAAACAGAATTCTGAAGTACACTGGTCCACTACTTTTAATATAAATATATATCCATTATGTAACCTGTGTAAATGTCATAAAAATTCAGAAAATTAAATATCATTAATATTTATATAAAATATTTAGGAGGGAGCATAAGGAATTTTAGTTGCAGAGACCCATATTTTGATTAAATGATATATAGAGATTGTACTCAATAATATATGTCAGTTTTTTTTTTTTTGATATGTCAACTATAAAAGGCAAAGAGAAAGAATCTTCCATCACTTTGTAAAACTAGATTTACCATCTTGTATTAAAAATAAAAAAGTAACCATGTAATAAAAAAAAAGTGTAAAAAGATCTGACCTTGACTTGGAGTTGTAAAAACTTGACATAATCTATAATCTCATCGAGCATCGATGCCTTGTCTGTCTGTCAATTATTATCAAATAATTAAATTAATACTGTCAGAACTGAGTGAGATCCTAACCCCATTTATTACTACTGCATTAGTTAACTTTATTATTGTTAGCCTAATTAATTAGCTAATCAGTGTTTTAATCATTTGATTGATATACTACTATACTATATCTCTCTATATATATTAGACTAAAAGAACCACCAATTATATGAGTAAAAAAAAATATATTAATTTGACACTTGAATTCAATTTTGTATACTGCAATTCAATTCTAGGTCTAGAACTATATATATATATATATATATATATATAAAGAGATAATTATAACAGTGGAGTTATGATATTTTAACTTGTAAATAATCAGAATTCATAATTAGATGGGATTATAGATCATACAATTCCAGAGTGGATGATGATGATGATTATTAAAATGATGTAAGTGACGGTTTTCTCTCTTAATGATTCATTTAATTTTAAATATTTAAAATAAAACCTTTCATTTATGAAACTAAAGTAAAAATGAATTAAAACAAAAAATAATTTACCTTATTGCCGTTTGGGACAAGTTCTTGAAGAGCTTTCATTCTTTCCGCAATCCTCTCTCTTCGTAACTGTCCCATTATAACATTTTTAAAACTTCACAAATTACTCAAAATATAAAACTTTCAAAAAAAAAAATCAATTTCGACACTTTTCTCGGTAACTGTTACGAATTAATATGCATAGAACAAAATCAAATAAAAATTGAATTATAAAGTAAAATAAAATAAAACTAACCCTTTCGGCGATACTATGAGGATCAGTTGCTTGACCTCTCCTAGCTCGGACTTTAGTCCTACTCTGCGGCGGAGCCGCCGCCACCGTACCACCCGTAGCTGTAGACGCACTTGCCTGCGGTTGCGTTTGCGTTTGCGTTTGTCTTTCTTGGTTCATCATTCCACCTCCCGATCCCTATATACATATTTTATCATTAGTAACGTTTTGATATAAATACATAAAGACTAAAAAGAAAGAGATAGATCACCTGAGGGATATGAAAGTTAGGAAGAGATCCAGATGAGGAGAAGCCATTGTAAAGAGCATGAACGGAGGAGCCATCATTCAAAGGCATCATCATGATCTGTTGGTTTCTTGAATCGACGTCGTGGCTATGGAAGCCATCGGTGGGAGGAGGAGGATGAGCATCGTCTACGACGGAAGGCCAAGGGGTAGAGGAAAAGATTTGGTCGAGGAAGTCTTCGTGGTCGAAAGTGGTGGTGGTCGGAGTTTGGATATGGGAAGAAGATGAAGAAAATGGAGTTAGAAGAGAAGAAGAGTTCATCATGATGATATGATGATGATAGGCTTCTTCTTCTGCTTTTTTCTACACTTTTTTTTTTTTTGGGGAGGAGGAGGTTGAAAATGTTGAGGTTTGGCTTTATTATTATAAAGAAAAATTGTTGTAGTCTTTGTAGATAATATTATTATTTTAAAAATGTAGGGTTTTAATTAAAAATATCATTTTTTGTGATAGTTTTAAAAGGAGTAGTATATATACTTTTTTATTGTGATGATGAATAGATGATTATCTTGGTCTCTTTAAGTTCGTTTCCGTCTACAACTTTGGTTTCTCTTTACTCCAAATCTTAATCATCCCTTTTTACAGCTAATCATGCATATATTAATTTTTGTACAAAACATTTTCTTATAGATATTAACCAATAAAACAACAGTAAATTCAGTTCTTTTCATTTAATATTTCTTGAATTTTACAATTTTTTTTAATTAATCAACCAATAAATTGCATTGAAAGGCTAGAAAATCTTTCTTTGTGGAGTATGATTTTATATATAACTCAAATGTATGATTTTTCATAACAAGTAAAAATATATTTCAAGTTGATATATGGTTGAATAATTTATTTACATCATGGTGATTTTAATAACTTTTGTGTGTACACGAAAATTGTTGTCGATGTAGTAGCTAGTGTGGTCATCACAAGTCAGAATGCCAAAAAACTCCACTCTAAGAGAATAATGATCAAGCCAAAACTATATTCTTCGATCGATCGGATTCAAGAGATGGTCATGGATGACCATTAACTAGTCCCCGAACCACCTAAGTTACCCAACGGTGAATCTACTTCTCAATTTATTCTTACAATATACATAGAGATACAAATAAATGTTTTTATAATCTTTCCACGATGACAATTATCTAAAAAATATAAAAACAAGATTAGGTACATTCATCAATATGATACTAGTGCTATCTCGAAATTCTACTGTTTTTGTGTTGTCCCCAAGATCACAAACATCCTATCCCAAAAACGATATTCGTATTTGAGATTAATAATCACAAATTACGATAATATAATTTTAAAAATGAAATTCCCTATAGATCATGACTTGGAGCTCCAAATTTTTTTATAACTATATATTTTCTTCTCTCTTATTTCTTTTTTTTTGTTTTTTTAATAGCTTTAAACTATATATATTATTGTGTCACAGTAAGCACCACATATATAATCTTTTTAGTTAGATAAATAATTAAAACTGTAAGATTTGCAAACTTTAATTTTGTGTTCGGATGTTTGACACTTCTTCTCTTTGGATCCACTAATACATTTAGGGTTTCGAGGTTTGTATTTTGTATTCAGAAATAATGTTTTTTTTTTCTTTTCGATTGCTACAACATGATGAACGAGTTTTAATGAAATATATATATAGATAACAAAAGTCTTCATTCTTGAAAACATATGTACTTATAAAAGTACATGTATGTGAGTGAGACTGTGGTGCATGTATCTTCTCTCATGTTATGCACACTTATGAGTTATGTCAGTATATATGCTCATCTACGTTCATGTATGTCTACGTATGTGCATGTGTGTAGTGCATATATACACATATGGAATACGTAATACATATTAGCTTTTTAAGTTATATAATCGAACAATATAAGGGACACGTCTTCTAGTTGGCGTGTCCACTTTCCCACTATCCGAATTATAGGTTTCAAAATGATAAAATTTCATTTTCTGTTAATCGATAGAATATCATAATTTTGGATTACTCAAGATCATGACATATCTCGTTACTAAAAGCCTTAAAACTATACGATTCTTTGAAATTTGGAACTACACAAGATCATGACATATCTCATTACTAAAAGCCTTAAAACTATATACGATTCTTTGACATTATTTCTTCCGCTATTAATTAATCTTTATTTGTTAATTAGTAATATCATTATACATTAAGAACAAAAACACACATTTAAGTATTTCAGGTTTTGCTAGAAAATAGAAATTGAATTCGTTTTGAAAGATAAACTGTTCTTGTGAAAAATCCAATATGTAACATAATAAGTTTTTTTTCTTTGGTAGATCGTAGTAGAATATGAAAGTATTTATGTAACTAGACATGTAAAGTAATATAGTTATACTATGAGACGAGTTCTAGTACGTTAAAAAAAAAATGGACTAGTAGTAATAAACTAGTCTGCGTGATTAAGCACATGGACTGATGGAAGTACTTAAGCACACATGGGACATTCTGTGTTAGCACAAACTCACAAGAGGAGAAATTAAAGATGGGCTTTAATTACACTCATTTATTAATTGCAAATGTTGGTCAAATAAATAATGTACTACAAAACAAACCTAGAGAGAGATGCATATAATTAGTATTATTATCAAGACGACATGGACTGATGGAAGTACTTAAACAAATAGTACTGCGTAATTATCTTTGTTTGTTCTTAATAAAGTAATTTGGAAGTCATAAAAATATGTTTTATCACATTCTTCTGATAACACTTAAACTGGAGATAGGTGTATCTTGGTATACGTCTTTGTCATTTCTTCCTTTACACCTCAATCCGCATATACCACATAAAACTATATTTAAAGTTAAGTCAATTACACATATTTTTCGCAAATAAATATATATAAATAGTTTGAACTTGTAAATATTTGAAAAATTCTCTTAAATACCACTAAGATGAGTATTTGTTCCAAAAATGCTATTATGAAGTTTATTTTCTAAAAATACTACAAAACTAAAACTTAAAATTTTTAGCATTAAAAATTAATTTCTAAATCCTAAATCCTAAACCCTATCCCTAAAAACTATATTCTTAATAAAAACTATACTCTTAATATAAATAATCAACCCAAATATAAAACAAAAAATGTATACATTTTCAAAATTCAATTTTTTTATTTTTATGATATTTTTGGAAAAGTAAAACTTTTGTGGTATATTTGGAGAAAAAATAAATGGTAGTATTTTTGGAAAAATACTTAAAAATGTTATCCAAGAGAGTTTCTCTAAAGGTTTTAGTGTGTACTGAACTAATACAATATCAAAAGTTTATGTACAAAGAAGTTACATATATAAACTTACTCTACTTTTGTTATGGATGATCAGAATTGTCAATTTGATAAATTATTTTTATTTTTATACAATGATTATAATTTTAAATGCAGCTAAATTATTTAAACTAAAGAGAGAGAGAGCATTACACTTCCACAACTTCTTAAAATATTCTTTCACCTAATAATTTGGTCATCGTATATTAAGATAAAATATTAATGTCTCAATATATAATGCAAGCAAGGATGGGAATTGAGAGTTGAGAGTAGTAGACTTTCTTTCTTACATCGATCAAATTGAGACTGATTTTTTAATTTAAATCATAGTTCGTTTACATTTTCTTCTTGACATTCGGCTGTCACTGTCTTATTTCAATTATAATCTTTTTTCATAAAAAAAATCTTACCATTCAACCACTGTTTGTCATCCATTTAGAATAATCTGTAATCTATTTTTCTATATACAAGTTAATTAAGTTTCACTGGTTTTCTAATTCATTAAATCAATTAACAATAAATGAATTAGTTTATGACATTTATATATTGCTCTATATTTCACTTATAATATAAGAAATTAAAGACTCAGTTTTACGAAAAAGTTTACACATATGACTAAAATGATCACAATTTTGTTTTAAGTATTTTGGGAGAATTCTACTTTCGAGATTGAGAATTTCCTAAATGAATAAAAAATTATTGATGTGTTATTGTCATGGTTCTCATTTACTAACATATGTCAACTTTGGAAGTTTGATACTACTCCGAAAGACATGCCATATCCATAAGACGTTATGGTTACTCCACATTTGCAAAGCATAGTATTTTTTTTTTTGGTGATGTTTATTATTATAGATTCCTCGTCCATTTTTACCCTCCATCCTTTGATTTTGGACATCTCACTTGGAATTTGATATAGAGAAATTCATAATATCATTACTGATAAAAGCTATCAATATGATAAATGGGTTTGAATAAGAATTGAGCTCTTATTTTCATTAAAACTAAAATTTGGTGTCAGTAATACCTTTTTGGGCATTAAAACTGCTAGAAATTCTTTTAGTGTTACATGCTTTAAAACGAACATTTTTTACATAATTTATGAAACTTAAAATTTTGTGTGTAAAGTTGGTTCATGTCCAATCAATCATAATTGTAGTTATCATATGTTATTCATATTCTTCTCAATTCATGCTCATGTACAAACATATCGAGTGGATTGACGTAATTTCAATTTACGAGAGATAAAATCACACATATAACACCATTTTAAGACAACTTGTTTCTACTTCTAAACAACTAGCATAAATTTTCTTACTAATAATGGAACAAATTTGTAAAAACTGAATTTTTTACTATATATATACAGTATAACCTCTATAAATTAATACTCGATAAATTAATACACTCTATAAATTAATAAATTTCGCCGGTCCCAACTTGGGACCAGTGTAATTTTAGACATATATCGATAAAATAATAAGATAATAATTTTTTTGAAAATCCTTTGTAAATATATAGTCCCATCAATATTATAAATTAATAATTAGGTAAAATTTTCAAAATATATGTATATATAAACACATTAGTTTTTGTTAGAGTTTATTTTAGATATTTTTTTGAAAAACTTTCCAAATTAGGAAAATCTCTCTATAAATTAATAATTATTAATTTATCAATAAATTAAAACCTCTATAAATTAATATATTTTCATGGTCCTAACGTTATTAATTTATAGAGGTTTTACTGTACTCCAACGCAAATGAGAATTGAGATATATCTCTATGTGTATAAAAGAGGTATACACACAAATCTATTTAGTATATGATTTTTTTTTTAATTTATTTTATCTTTTGAGCTTTTTGGCATTTTAGTGTAAACAAAATAAATGTAAAACGCGGTAAAAAATATTATATGTAAAGCTTTAGTAATAATCTTCTAAAGTCCAAAATATGGTTTAGGTAATTTTTTTATCAAATGGTTTAAGTAATTAGGTTTAGTTATGTTAACTTCCAGCTAAACCAAACCATGAATACCCAATTAACCTTAACTTATGGTTTTCCACTTGTTGAATGACTCATCCATGGGAGAGGGGGGGGGGGGGAGGGGGGGTTTTGAGTTTGAGTTTGAGTTTTCTGCTGTATTTTTGTAATATATATATATATATGTCATAATTGACTATTGTGAATGCTGTAAATGGTAAAATTACTCGCACAAAACCAAGTTAATCTAAGCTAAACTTAATAAAAACCTATCTAATCTAATATTGTAATAGTTGAAACTAAACAAATCGTCCCTTTCCCAACCATTGGTGTTTGTTTTTGCTAAAAGCTAGATGGGTCAGATCAGAATCAGACAGAACTCCATACAAGAACATAAAAATATTCATCTGACCAGTTTGTACTTTCGATATACCATCTGAAAGAATAATATATTGTAGTAAAATTTTGGAAAATTCCACGGAGATATCGATGAGATTGGTCTCAAACGATTACCTTTAAGATGTATAAATATTTAAAATTTTAACCATTAACTAAAAACAAAATTATTTCAAGTTATAACCATTAACCAAAGATTTATCAAATGGATCTTTGTGTGCTCGAAACATCACAGTCGTGAGATGAAACCGTCCCCTGTTATAAAAACACAACACAACCAAAGCTCTCTCACTCATCTTTCCATAATATCCTCTTATTTGGTTACATAAAAGCTTACAAACCATAATACATAGTTACACTAATCACTCCCTTTTATTCGCAGTTTTCGATTTAATCCGATACAAACACGACGGATTTGATTTGATTTGGTTCTAAGATGATGGACATTATAGAAAAAAGGGATACTAACCCATAGAGTAAGAAGGTGTTGGCAAGTTAATGACAGTGGTCTTCACTTTAGTCATCAAATTGATGCTATTTGTCACACCTTGTGATCCTATTCCACTATCCTTAAGTCCCTGTGTATTCCAATCCATAACCTAGTTAGCTTGAACGGTTAAGTCATAACCGAGGGAAAAAATAAGTCTAGAAATTTTTGATTTACCTGGAAAGGGAAGTGGTCCGGTCCACGAGCTGGTGCAGAGTTGATCTGAACGGTTCCTGTCTCCATTGCATCACTGATCAGTATGGCCTTGTTGATGTCTTTAGTGAATACACATCCCTTTAAATCAAAGTGTTTTGAGTAAGCTCCGGTTAAGTGCAAACTAAAATAAACCGGACTAAACAAAAATAGCCAAACCTGGAGGCCAAAGTTACTAGCATTGCAATGATTGATCCCTTCTTCAACAGAACTGATCCTCAAGACAGGCACAACAGGACCGAATGGTTCCTCCCATGCGATTCTCATGTCCGGTCTAACATTGTCCAAAAGCAACGGCCAAATCAAGTTACCTTCTCTTTTATACTCTTGGCAAAACGTTGCTCCTTTCTCCTTAGCATCCATCACCAATCCTTCAATGAAATTAGCTGAAGATTCCGATACCACGGCTGTGATATCGGAGTTATCTTCAGGCGGTCCAACCGTGAGTTTCGCCACTTTAGCTTTCACTTTCTCAACAAGTTCATCTGCCACTGATTCCATCACTAGTACCACCTTCACCGCAGTGCACCTCTGACCGCTGGTTAAGGTAGATAAAACCCGCGGTTAAAAACTTGATAGAATTATCGGTTAATTAATACACTCATTGTAGCTAGTTAACTAGATTACCTGTAAGAGAATCCTCCTTTGATGATGTTGGAAGCAACTAAGTCAAGATCAGCATCCTCCAAGACAATGCATGCATCTTTACCTCCAAGTTCCATTTGAAGAGGGATCATACCAGCTTTCTTAGAGATTGAGATTCCGGTATCACCACCCGTGAAACTGAAACCGGTCATCCAAAATTTTAGTAGGTAACAGGAACATGACCTGTTTGTTGAATGTATATATATACCTAATGCAGTTAACAGCAGGATGCATAGTGAGGAAATCGCCAATCTCAGATCCCTTTCCAGTGATGCAGCTGATAAGTCCTTTAGGGAAACCGGCTAAGTGAAAGCAATGTACCATATGAAGACAAGAAACAGCTCCCTAAAAGAAACAGACCGTTAAAAACAATGTTTATAACATATAGTTTTAAAACAGTGTGAAGTTTTTGTAGTTACTTGAGTTGGAGGTTTGAGGACAAGGGAGTTCCCGGCGATCAAAGCCGGAGCGATCTTTGATACAGCGAGATTGACCGGATAATTGAATGGAGGAATAGCCAAAACCACACCAAGAGGAATCTGTAGCTCAGAAGAGGAAACACACAATTTGATCAAAACATTTGTAAAACTTCAACCATTGATGCAGACATATGAATCAAAGAGATTATACCTTGGAAGTGAGACAGTACTTAGTACGGTCATTACCGGGGAAACTATCAGATAGCAGAAACTTCCCTTCACCTAAGATCCTAACACCTTCTTCAGCACAATAAGAGATCAAATCTCCAGACCTAACAACCTTTCACCACAACCAAACATCAGAGATCTGCCAAAGAAACTGATGCAAAAAGAGAGAGAGAGAGGAGAGTGAGACCTCAGTAACAGAATCTTTGGCGGGTTTAGCGATTTCCTTGACAAGAGACTCAGCCATGGGAGCTTTGTTATCTTTAAGGATCGCAGCAGCTTTGTGAAGAAGCTCAGCTCTTTTCCAAAGAGGAGTCTTCGCCCACGACTTCTGAGCAGATTTCGCCATCTCCATCACCGCGTTCACTTCTTCTTGCGTGCATGCTGTGTTTAAAAGAAAAAAACAGAACATTATCTTATCTTGAAATCCTCTGCTTTCACTTCCTCTGTTTTTCTCTTAGGAGATTCTTAGGTTGTTTATCTTAATTTAATCTCAATTTCCCATTTTTTCAACTGTTTTATCAACTATTCATATGTAGAAGATCTCTAGTTCTGGTGAAATCAAGAAAGCATGAAACTTTATAAGACATTAGTGAGAAGACATTACCTTGAACCTTGTACTGTGGCTTCCTTGTAGCCGGGTTAATGATGGCAACACTCTTACCAGAGGAAGAAGTCTTCCACTCTCCATCAGCGTAGTATTTGTAGACTTCTCCATCTATAATCTCTGCAAACAATCCAGTCCCAGCCATTGTTGTCTGAAAACAAAACCTAAACGCAAAGAAAACTAAGTAGTGTGTTGTGTGTTCTGTTCACACAATGTATATATAGCCAAAGAGACAAAGACAAAACAGAGAAGAAGAAGAAGACTCTCTCCTCTGTGTCTCGCTTCTTGAGTGTTGAAAGAGAGAGAGAGGGGAATTGAGTTTAATGATAGGTTTAATGGAAGGAGTGGTGAAAGAGCAAGAAAGGTAGATAGATAAGTGAAAAATCTTGAAAAGGATAAAGAAAGGAAGATGAAAAAAAATTGTATGGTGCAGAAAGGAGAAGGAGAAGAGAAGAGAGTTTTCTTGGTGTGTGATCGTTTTGTTGGTTATTATTGAATAGCTTTGGTCCTACATCATTGGTTTATACACAACCACAAAGCAATGTATTTGAATTCATACACTAACAAACATGCATGTATTTAACTCCCGATGTCCGTTTTTAAAAATGGAATATTCCGATTTTTTTTGTCAAAAAATATATTGGGAAAGTTTTAAGAACATTAAAAATGAATTTTAAATTCCTTACAATATGAGTAGATGTGATTTAAGAATGAATATTAAAAGCTACTAAAAACAAAAATTCTAGCAATGAACACTAAAACTATATTAATAATGATTTTTTTTGATCAAACAACATACAAAATATTATTTCAGAAAATGGAAACAAAAATTATTTAGATAATAAAGAAAAAACAGAAGAACAATCTCGCGGCGTAGTGCGAGTACCAACCTAGTATATATAAAAGCAAGAAAGCATCATATATAAGAGATATCATCAAAGTAGAAAAGTAGAAGAGTAAGAAATCGTTTTCATCTTTTACTTTGACTTTAATTCTTTGTAATTCTAATATTCTAGCGGATAAATTAGCAAAGATTACTTGTGTTTTACCACATCTTGTTTTACATGTAAACAACGTTTTATCAGTTTGGTTAAACACAATTTTTTAGTAGTATAAATTGTTGACAAAGAAAAAGATAGCATCAAAGTTTTGGATGAAATAAAAATACTAGAACAAACAATGCATAACTAAAGAAAAAGAAACAACATAAGTAAGTTTCATGAAAAAGATACAACTTTAGATGGATTTGGTTGTTTCGCACCTTTTTTTTCTTTGTTCTTCTTATCTAAGATATCTAATTCTTATAACTCTAAAGCTGATTGTCTAACTCGTTTTTAGAATATATGTTTCAGAAACTTATTTTGTAAAACTCTTTTTCTCCTGCTTAGACTACTATAAAGTATTATTTTAATTAATGTGTGTTTGACAAAAAAAAATATTATATATATATATATATCATCCAATAGCTAGTGATTAAGTGTCAAATATGGAATGCATTATTTATTTTCATATAGGATATTGATTTTGTAATTTTTATATTTTATAAAATGTAGACCATATATTCACTCAAACTGATTAGTTATATATAAAAAAAGGTAATATTTAAACCATAGAATTGTTTCCTAGTTCACTTGATAAATGACTTGGTAAACAACGAAATTGAACAAAGCCAAAAGCGGTTTTTGGAACTACTGAACAAAACGTTGTTATCTTGGTTCAATGCCTTACACGTGTTTTGTCTATCTCTCTAATTTTATTACGTTGCCGTGACAATATTCATCACTATTATATTATTACGTAAAATTCAATTTTAATTGTCATCAACAATATTTATTTTAGTGAAGTAGTATATATAATTTAATATCTCCAACAATTATAAGAAATAAAAGTGTAGCTAAAAATATATGGCCTATATAGTATCATTTAAGAATTAAAGATTTATTGTCCAATATTCCACTATTCAGTCACCAAAAAAATAAAAAAATTATTCAGTCATCTTTTTTGTTTCTTTATAAATTATCAAAAATTTAAACGACGGTTGAGAGTGGGAAGCTTTGATACATAGTTCGTTATCTTTTTTGGGGAAACAAAAAATGATAAGATTGATATATATATATATATATATATATATATATATATATATAATTTATATTTGAAGATTATCAAACATATATATTAATCTTTGTGATTTCAACCTTTTGAAATGCATGTTAACTGTTGATTAACTCTTAATTTAATGAACTCTAGAGAATCGCATTACACATGTGTTATCTTAGTAATATATATCATCTATCAATCAAATTGAGTACAATTCATAAAATTATGAAACCAACAACAACACAAAAATTGTAGATGAAGAGATGAGAAGAGAAGTAGAATTTCACCAAAAAAGCTAAGTCATAGTAGGTGAAGAGATATAAGAAGAAAAGTAGATGCTAAATCTCATCACATAATTATTTTTGGGTAGTTAAAGATGATCAAAGAACCACAAGAGTTTGGATAAAAGGACGATAAGAAAGAAATAAATTAAAAAAAAAAAAGAAACTTGCAAAGTGATTAATTGATATAGGACCACAAAAACCATATCATCATAACATCAAGAGATCCCCACAATTACTTCCCACCAAAATTGGTATCAATCAGTCACTCTTCCCATTACTCTCGCGGACAAACTATAGCCTTAGAAATTTTCTTAGTTCATTTTGAAAGTGACTATCGTAAAAATATATATTTCGCTTGACTTATAATGGTATGTATTTACATTGTTTTTGTTAGGTGAAGTATGTAAAAGTTATAATTTCTGAAATTAGTCACTACAAATGTATTTCGTAGATTCTTTTTTTCTTTGTTCTTTTAGTTTTACTTTAAGAACAAAAACCAAAAGAAAAAAAAGTTTTATACTTTCTTGTTTTTGCCGGAATGAGTCATTGACATGTCATGTTCATTATCATGTAGTTACAAACAAAATATAACAAGTAAGAATCATGGGCTTGCACTATCTTTATCCATCCACTCGTCTCTATCTATGGTAAGGCTTCGCTCGTCGTATCACGTACGTGTCTATGAGCCTCTTTTCTTCTTCACCGACTACTATCTTCTCCTTCTCCTATGTTTGTGTTATTTAGGCTTTGTGAATATTACTAATACATCAAGTAGTAAACCTTTCCTTTGAATAATCAAAACTAATAAACAATTCCTTTCAATAATCAAGAATAACAATCAATTTTTTGTTATTTTTTACACTGGAGAGAGTTTGTTTGATAACTATTATACTATCCCACATTGATGATGACATAGCTTTTTGGATAATACCATATATGAATGTATTCTAACGAATATAAAAGGTAGCTCAAGAAAAAAAAAATTTGTTACGTTCTATATATATTAGCTAAAATCTATCCTATCATTGGTGTGAGATATTCTAGTAGCCATTTTCGAAATATAGAAGAAAAGCGGTTTAAAACGAAAACTCTCTATACCCCACATCTCAGAAATATAACAAATCATGTCACTTAGATGGATCAAATAGATTGGAAATCATTTTTGTGAAAAAATTACTTATTAAATCTAATCATAGGCTCTGATACCATGTTAGAAATGTGACCTAACTAATCCCAAAACTTAACTAGATTTCAATATCCTATATATATTATCCAAAAATCTATCTCATTTTGGGATATTTTAATACTGAAATGCACAATTCCAACATTAAAAAGATGATATATCATGGGAACTAATCCTATGATTGTATATGATCTTGATTTCTTGTTATCATCACCATGACTATATATGATTCTATGAGCATATCAAATGCTTTCAACGTTTATAGTTTAAACTCACTCTTTGACATATTTATAACTTAGATCGACATATATACAATGTACTTGCTTTCATGATCTTTGTAAGTTCAAGAATAGTTTAATTCAAGTAATGGTTTAACTCGATGAAACCCTGATATGTGGGAGAAAGAAGATATACTGTATAACCCCTATTGTTTCCGGTTAATATAGGTCAACTTCAGATTCCGGTTTATTTCGGTTTAGTCACGAGTTACTAAACCCTAATATTCTGGGATTTGTGTGTTGCAGAGTGTCAGAATCGGCTCTGTTTTCTCAATTCTCATCAGTTTAAGTACGCGCCTCTGCTCCCGGAAGTGACAATGGTCTCGCCGTCTTCACCTTCCGGTGGAAACGAAGCCAATGATCTCCAAACTACCTGATCGATCGAGCCACCTAAGCGCGATGATGATCTTCTTGAGCGCTTTCATAATCTCTTTATATAATTACCCCTGTTTTGGTCTTCTTCTTCTTGGATGCTATGCTGATACATTCTAATTCAGTGGACCAGACATTGAGGTCACTCTGTTTCTTGGCGTGGCTACAAATTGGTACCCACTACTAAAGAGAGCTCCTTTGTGAATTGTGATGATGCCACTTCACATCATACAATGATTTGCTCAAGAAAACTGATTTTTTTTCATTTGATTAGTTCTGTAAACTTTTGTTCAAATGCATAATTGGTAGAAGAATCACAGTTAGAGTAATGGGTTAGATTAGATCTCAAAGCAGAACCAGAATCTGTGGAAAGTTCTAGGCTTTGAACATGTTGAAACTTGTAATTCTTAGGCTATTAACCTTGTGAGTGGTTTGTTTGGAAAAAGTTAATTGTGGGCCTAAACCATTAAAAGAATAGAAGAAACAATTATGAAAGCTGTCAACTTTGGGAACAAAGTTTGTGCCTTTGTGGTGCTCAATTCAGCTTTCTCTAATTTTGTGAGTTGTGACAATAACAAACTGATGTGGAGTTGTATTTGTATCTTGTTTTTGATCAAGATTGTGACTTTTGCGGTGGGATTGTTCAAAATAAACCAGTAATAGTCTTCTTTAGGTTCTGGTGTGTGCAATTATTGGTGCTGAGATCTGAATTAATTTGAGAACTCTTATCAGAAACAATTCTAAGATAAGAAAGTTGCTTCTTTTCTATCTTTTAGCCTCCTTGGTATTCTCAGTTTGGAATTTTTTTCTGTTTTGGGAGAAGAAACCAACTGGATTTTATCTAAATTTTGTTAAGCCAAATTTTGTTATTTTGGAGATGGAGCTTGGCTTTGTTTGGACCATACGGCCACTTGTGTGTTAGTTCGATTTTTTGTTGTTACTCTTCTTTTTTTGTGTCAGCACTCAGCATCATGCTTGAGAGTTGAGAGAGATGGAGAGGCAGATTGGCAGAATCATCATCACAAG